TTAAATCGTTTTTGTTGTCCAGTTGATATGAATGAAAATTGATTTTATTTTGTTCATGAAATTTACAATTTGTCTGTAGTCCTCTATTAATTTCGAGTAAAGAAAGATAGCTTCACCTCTTAGCTCAGCTTCATGTTCTTCCTTACACGTTTTGCTTAAAGTATGATCTATGGAAAACCAATCAAAGCCGTCTTGGTATATTACAAGAGGTGGAATTTTAGTTATATTTCCATTTTCCGAGTGGATTTACTGTTTTATTTCATTAGCATTATTTAACTCAAGGGTAAATTTTTCAAAGCGAACATTATGTGTGATTTCCATTTTTCATTCCTAAGTTCAGATTGTTTGTAAGTTTGCTTTGGAGAGATACATTAGTCTTTTCCATTAGAGGTTTAGTTTTTTCCTTGACGAATATAGTTGGAGTGATAGCATTTCATTCATCGGTGCTGGTGTTGCCACATAAAAGGTCTTTAGATAGTTTAGCAGAATTTTGAGACGCCTTGAGGTCGGCCGAAAATTTAGAAACCTCGTGATTTGTGAATTCCACAATTTGGGGAATTAGGATGCTAGGATGCAAGGTTAAAGCTTTGAATTTCTTTCCGTTTTCTGATTTAATTTCAGAGTCCGATCGGGGGTTTTGATGAAATCTTTAATATTATAGTTTTCTTAACAAACCATCATCTTTCTTTCTTCCTAGTAGAAATAGTGTAGTCCGATTCGTCCACTGAATAGTCTGAGTCCTGTCTGAACTATTTGTCCTGAATGTATTCGGTGGTTGGGCCAGAACGACCAAGTAAGCATGTGTGTATTGAGTATACGGCAAAGAACACTAGGGCTACTTGCCTGAGGAGAGGGATGCTTTCGTGGAGGACTTTCTAAGGGAAACTGGCTCGTATACACGTTACACATGGGGAAAACCACGAAAACGACTATGCAGCCAGCCCGTTCACGGGATTCGAACCACCAGTGTTCAGCGATTTTACCACTCGGCCGCTGGTGGGCAACGACCAAGTAAGATCGAGACAGCAAGCAGAATGCATGCGTTACAGAGTGACGCCAGCAATCGAATGTGCAAACATTCGCCTGGTGGGAAGTGATTTTAAAAACAACGACAAACGAGAGAATACGACGGTAGCGTAACTCGCGGTCATTATTCACAACTTTTCAACTCAACTATCGGTCACTGCACAATAGCGCGTAATTTTATTTATTTTTCATATAAAAAATGTCATCTCTCGGGCCGGATTAAAAATAAGCGGCGTGCCGTGTTTGCCCCTTGGGTCGACTTTGCTTACCTCCGTTCTAGAGTGCTGGACAAATTTTCATTTCACTTTAGCTATCAAATCCAGAACATTAAGTGGATACAACACGAATAAAACCACAAAAATTTATTGTTGTTTTAAGTCCAAGTTCAGAATTAAACTAATGAGCAATCAAAAAAGACAGACAACAACGAGTTAATTTATGTACAATTCAAAAGTTTAGATCATGGAGCCTGGTTCTGTTAATTGCACGACTGCTACTTAATGCTCAGTCAAAGAGGAAAAGCACGAACTTACAGATATATCGCTCAACCCGCACAACAGCAGGAGGAAGGCGAAATGAGACAGCCTTTCAAAGTCCGTGGCAAGTTCCTGGGATGTTCACATGGGCTTCTGTTAACGGGATTTTAACTGAAGCCTACTATAATCTTTTAAACACTTCTCGCCAAAGCGCTGCTCCAACGCGCCGGATAGAGCTTCGAAGTCTGGTTTTCGGGAAGCGTTTGAAGAATATCCACTGTGTCTGCTCTCACAGAAGCGGCGAGATGGCAGTCCTTAGCTTGGGAATCCCATCCATTCGCGTCCGCCACTATAGAAAACTATGTCTTTACACTTGCCAGGAAGGAGGTCTTTCCATCATATGTAGACAGCTTCAGAGAGGGACGAGAAGGCATGGGTAAAAACTTAAAATCATCAGAATTGCTTCCTGCTGTCGCTATGCATTTCTTTCAGGTGTCAACTTCTTTTTAACGACAGCAGCAGCAGCAGTAGAAACCATGTCTTCATTTTGTTGTTCGATTAGTTCTTGGATGGCAGAAACGTTTTCTTCAATTTTTCCAACCCTATTTTTGACCGTGTCTTTCTACCTTCCATTGTTTTCTATTATGGATGTAACTTGTGTTTTCATCTCCTCTTGACTAGCTTTCATTTCTCCTTTCATCTCCTCTTGGCCTGCTTTCATCTCTTGTTTGAATGCAGCAAAGGCTGTCACCAGCTGTCACATTTCTCCTCCATCGCTCTTGTCACCAGGATTCAATACCACTTCCAACACCAAAATGTGCTTACGGGTTCGAAAGAGATCGAACGCACACAGCTCCGATGTTAGGTTGATAAAATTTATTTTATCAAAAGAAACACTTCAGAGATCTGGAAATTTCCACAAAAATAGTGGATAATAACACAACTCTACACAATATCACAGGGTACTCTTCAGATTCAGTAATCAGTAGTTACTCTTCAGATTACTGTGAACGTTAAACACAACGCAATGCAAAGCGCAGCTAAAGAGAAAATTACTCGAAGATATCTCAATACTCCGAACTTACGCTGAGCTAACAACAAACAACAACAGCTACTTCTGAGGGCAGATGCTCTCTCCTGCCTTATATAGTTTTCACCCGGCCGCAGAGATATTTCTAGCACTTTCTGCTTCTCGAAATTACTGGAAGGCAATATGAGGGTCGAATTACGATTAAAATTAATATGGTGATCAATTACATTTATTCAATTACAGTACCTATCATTGTGATAGAGGGCCGGGCCAAAATATTGTCAAATACTCGCCAAGTTTGGCGATTTATCGCCAAATTACCAAAATATCCACTTACGCAATGTTAAATAGATTTGCCCTTGTATTCTTACTTTTCCGGCATAGCTTTTCTCTCTAGATTTTTCATATTACATTACGCACAAAAATACAAAAGTTTCACATATAATTGCACTAAAATCATCTATCTATATGCAATATTCGTAACAATATATTTCAACAGTTTTTGCTAGGTAATATTTCTGAACCTATTATTATACTATTACATCACCAAATCAAACATTTACAGCAAAAATATTAGGTTCCGGCAGATATTCATTAGATTATGAAAAATTTTTTTAAATGGCATGGTAAAAAACTACGCAGAGCCGTGCCTACATATTTTTTCACCTGAGGCAAAGCGGTAAGAATTGGATTACTCAATTATGGCAAAGCACACGAAGGCTATCTGCACACGAGGAGGGATGCCTTCGTGGAGGATTTTCTAAAGGAAACTGGCTCGTATACGCATTATATATGGGGAAAACCATGAAAACGTCCATGCAGCCAGCCCGTTCGCGGAATTCGAACCTCGGACCGAACTACCAGTGTTCAGCGTCTTTACCGCTCGGCCGCTGGGGGGGGGCGGCAAAGGGGTAAATGTGCGCTCCTGTATACAATGCAAGATTATTTATTTACCTATTTGTGTGGGGGGGAGTATAACTAAATAATGCTAAATGATGTTTGAAAACATAGCATTATGCAAACGCGCAATATATATATATATATATATATATATATATATAGGCTAAAAATTCGAAGTAAAAAATTAGAATAAAAATATTTTGATGGGGCTAATGAGATACAGCAAAGAACAACTAATGTCGGCAGTATAATATTTTCTATGAATGTTTAGTTTATACAATTCGTTACACAAAGTGTAATTAGTTCCTTAAAACTATTTTCAATAAGAAATTTTAATGCAAGAAAATCTTATGTACACTACTGTGAAAGTTCATGTCATTTGAGAATAAATTAATGCTATAAGTTTTTCTTTTTCTTTTTTTAACTGGATTGCTTATAACACAAAATTCTTTTAATATTAACTGATGTATTCCGAAATTAAAAGTTAAAAATCATAAGTTTTAAAAATAAATTTCTGAATTTTTGATCGCATAGCTAATTTGGCGCTCCTTCTATTTGTTCACCTAAGGCCTTACCCTCGTTCCGGCCCTGCTACGCATGCTCATTTTTTAAGATTTTTTTTTCCTTGCTTTTTGCCAAGATGTTTATCAAGACGTGCTCGAAGTTTATCAATCTTAAATGCTTTCGGTCTTCCCAAAGTAGTTTGTCTCAAACATTAATTTCGCTCTTTTAAAGCTCTTCTGGTAAATCGGCAAATTCAACAGTGGATTAGAAGTGCTTCATCGGATTATGTTTCTAACATAGAAAAATTATGTTATATATGTTATATAGTTATTTTAGACGCTATAGATAGTTTTTAAAAGTTACGCGTAAGTTTCTTCTTAAATTATTAAAATTCTGTGTAAAACCAAACCTGCTAACTCGCAGTAACTTTAATTAATTTTCAAACTGACTTTTGAAACATCCAATATAAATATTGCTGTAACTTCGAACTGTCCATAACATAAATGAAACAAAAAATTAAAAAAATACTAAACTGTGATAGTTATTCCAGAGCTTAATTGTGAGGATATAAGTTTAGAAACTTAGCGATCGGTATGAGATAAATAAACGAATAATTGGTAACAAAAGAACAGTTCCTTCAGTCGTATTCGAAAATTCTTCGTTTGTTACATTCTCTCGATTTTCTCTCAGCTGCACGTTTTCTCAAATTAGTTAATTCTTCAGTTCGTAGATCACATGAAAAATCGAATTATTTGCCAATAATTTTTTTACTTTAACCGTTGGCTTTAAAACTAATGTTTAAATGCATCTAATCTGAAGTTTAAAACATATCTTTACGTAAAAAATATTTTATTTCATTAGTTTTACACATCATTCATATTTAAATTTTTTAAAATATATTTCCTACCTAAAACGTGCAGTCTGCAATACATAAATCAGCCCTTTATCACAAAGACATAACGGCTTTGTATTGGAATGCAACAATAAGGGACTGCACTGTTTTCTTTCCTGTGCGCGTGTTTTTATTTTTCGTTTTGATAAAAGTAGCGTTGTTCTTTCTTTGATCTGCATGTGCTTGTGGTTGAAGTGGTAGGGTATGTCATTAAGTACATGACGGTTTTTTTCGTTCACTGACGCTCTACATAGAAATGGAGAATTTAGCAACTCTAAATAAGATCAATGCATTAAACACATTTTGTTTTTAAATGGCGTATTAATGGATTTAGATGAGCATACTGTTGCATTCCAGACAGTTCTCATATTTCTCAGTTCCGGTAAAGTTTTCAAGGTATGGAACTTTCTAATATACTGTATTTTGTTTATAATTCTCTAGTCCTTATCTGGTAAGCGATTATATTCACATTACTTCAATTAATGAATATTCACATTACTTCTTTTGGCTAAAGTGCTACTTATACTACTATTTAAAATCAAGTTATTCACATCCGTCTTCGAAAGTGCTTCTTAGGAACTAACTTATGTTATGTAACGCTATTTATACAATTGTTATAAATAGGCTGTATTTTTCACCTGAAAACTATAAACATTTACTGGCATTGCTTGAGTCATTAGCAAAGAAACAAACATATTAATGCTGTTTAGCCCCTCTAAATGGTTTTAGATAGATTTTAGTCAGCATTATTAACGAAGACTACACATTGCTTGCAAGAATGTAATTGGTTTCCAAAACGTAAACTATAAGATGACCCCTATGAACTTTTGTCATTTCTGTTCACATGCTTATGTCGATTCAAATCCTTACCGCACACAGTTCTGATTATAAAGTTGAATCCGGCATAAGAAGACTATGTTTTAAACAGTTATGCGCTTTCCTAATTACTTTATGCAAGATAATGGCAAATCTCGTCCGGTAAGTAATGTGTTTTGTTAACAAGAATTTTATTTTTTATTATTATTCGTATTCTATACTCACAAAACGTGCAATTGGTATGAAATTTTATATGTTATGGATAGCATTATTGTTATCAATGTAGTTAAAGACAGTTCCGTAATTTAAGCGTAACAGAAAAGTATTTAAATTTGCATCAAAATCTTGTAGCTTCTCATTTGTTGCTATAGACAAGCTTGATTTTGTTTTTCACTAGACTACTAAAGATTCCTTATTCTGAGTTCTCCTGCATCCTTCTCTTCCTTTTTAACTATAATCCGTTGAGCTGATTAGAATTTACTTTCATCATGAATTGTAATAATTCGAACGTCCATGACTGTATTGTTTCTTATTATCGCTGTGAAGAAAATTTTTCGTCTGTTATTTTAGTTTGGCCACTAATAATAACTAAAATGGGATATAGCCTAACAAAATTAGTCGGTAAGTTACTCACATCGGCTCAATAATGATGGTACTTTAAACGTTACCCTTGAAAAATTTGGAATAATTATTAGCAGTCAGATACCAATTCATTTTAGATGCTGAAAATTTTTAAATCTTATTTTGCTGGAAAGGTTAGATAAAACTAGCATTTCTGAATTACTGTCAGACAATAATCCCCAAACGCATTATTTGGATTCTGATTTTTGTCTGTATACAAAGCTTGAAAAATGCACATTTTCTATACAGTGATATATCTGTTAAATAAGACATAAGCAAGGATTGCCTTTTAGTAATAAATGTTATCAGATAATTATTCTGGATTTCATACATTATTAAATACTGATTTCTGTAAAAAAATAATTACTGTCATCCTTAAATTGCTAAATAATCCTATTTAATTAAAAAAACTGTCATCCTTAACTTGCTAAATAATCCCATTTAATTCAAAAAACGTTAATGCAAGTTCCTTTATTTGTTTCTTGAATACTACAAATTTGTTTTAGAGCAGGTTAAAAAAATTTAACCTTGAGATTAAATTTTTTCAACTAATATATTATGTAATATTGATTGTTTTATAAACCGTTTTGTAAAGTTCTTTAGCCGGAGGCAGGAAGCAGTTTTTTAAAGGCATTTTATAAAGTTAAAAATTGAATAAAAAATTACATAACTACTATTAAAACAGTGCCATTCCATTGTACACAAATGTCAGACTTTTCAGAAGTTTATAATGTATGTAACTTTGACATTTTTTTAGGTTAGAAAATACAGAAGGTGAAAAAAACGATCCGGAAAGGAGTTCATTTACAGTATGTGTTTATTTTTTATATTTTAAACAAAACAGTTATTATCTTTATTGGAAATAGAATACAATCTAATTGGGATTATGTACTTAAAGAAAATGAAAATTTTTTATTTTTCTAATAACATAATTTAATGTGAAATAGTTTAACAATTGTTTTCATCAGCAGGTATCTGCATTAACTGGTGACAACATCAAATGTGAGAGTGAGTCTAGTAATGTTGAAGATAAAAATGGATTTAAAGATAATTTTAAACCTTTTCAAAGAAGCATGCGAAGAAGGTCTGGTCCAGGTAAATGAAAATAATTTTAGCCAATTTAGGGTACCTGAATTTATTTTGAAGCGTATGATTGTTTACATATTATAGAAATTTGTTTCGTAATATTGACTAGATCTAGTAAATAAACTGATTTTCCCCTTGATATATGTAACAGACAATTTCTTTTATCACAAAGCTTTTAAGTTTCTTTAAAATGCAATATTATTTAGCAATTGTTTAAATTTTGCAGTCACTTTAGCCAGTTTGTGTGCTGTATAATTTACATATTTTTTTATGTACTCACTATAATGTTTTCTTTCCAGGCTGTCTTAATTCCCAGTTAAGTTTTTGTCGATATCCTGCGTTTGATTTTGGTGGGAGAGAAGACGAAAATTCTAATCTTCCATCTCCAGTTGTACGTTAAATTGTATTTAACTAAGTTTTAAATTATGACTTTTTGTTTGATGTTTACTTTTGGATTTCTTTTTCAAATGTGGAAGTTTATGTATTTTTTATTCTTATATTATAAAGGAATCCGAGGGAAACCACACTGTAAAAGATGAGATTCTTCAAGGGATAAAAGTCGCTGAAAAAGCTGGTGATAATGATTCAAATCTAAGACCATCACGGTCGAAAGATGTATGTTGAAATATTAAATATGTAACTTTTTCCACTTACTTTTTTAAAATTTAATTAATTATTTTAAACATTTTATGTAATAATTCATTCATTTTAGTTACTAATCGAATGAAGCTAATTTTTAGAATAATTAATGATCTAGAAAATGTGCAATGTACTATTACTTATGATTTATAGAAAATAAGCGTCTCTGGGCACTCCTGATTCCTTTAAAATTAATTATTATGAGAACAAAGAAAACATTTCAATTAAACTAAAAATTTATATTTAGATTAGATGTTAATTACATAATGCCATTATAGAGTTTGGATTCATTATACACAGCGTAGTGGTATGTGTTTCACACACATATCTAAATGAATAAATTAGCTTAAAACCCAATTCAATTGCTCTCTGATAGCATTAATAAGTGCCGGTAATAATGTAAACTAAACTAAAATAGAAATACCTTTAAAATTGCTGCAGTATTCAGTTTGGAACAAACAGCATGCAACTCTCCCCCCCCTACAACAACAACAACAACAAAACAGCAGCACAGTGGCAAACTGCAAGAAACGGGGAGGGTGAGGAAATACGCCAAAACCAAAGATGAAAAGGAAATCTTGCATCTTTTTCGCAGCAGCATCATCGGGGAGGGGGTTCAACGGAAGAAGTAAATAAATAAAACTGCCTATTTCTGAACCTATAGAGACAGAAATTAAAGTTTAAAATTTAAAATTAAAAAAGATCTTAAAACAATCAAAGCAATTTGTGTTTTTATCAGTCCAACCCCTACAGGCCGAAGTAAGTCAAAAATGTAAAATTATAGCATCAAAAACGTAGACAAATTCAAAATTTTGAAAAATAATAGATAAATTTAAAAGTTTATTATTATGCTACAATAGAAGTTTTTTCTGATTATTTTTATTGATTTTAATCAGTTTAAAATTCTTAGTTTACCTAAATTCACCACTTAACATATGTTAGGCTTTGCTACTATACAGGCGCAAATATATATATTTTTATTTCAAAACTTGTGTTGCTCTTGTGTTACATATTTTAAGAACTTACTCGGCTATTTTTTATTTTTTAGATCAAAATTTCATTTATTTCTATATTTTTGCATATATTGGATTACTTCTATTTTACATGTTTTTGGACTCTGTTCACTTGTACTAAAAACTTTTTATTAGATTTTTAAGCTTTTTTACTTGTTTATGATTTTGTTTCTGACTCTGTCTACTCAAAATGCTTTTTTTTAAATTTACCTATTATTTCGCAAAATTTTTGAATTTGTTTTTGATGTTATATAATTGTGTATTTTTTTGGATCTGTTTTCTTTGGTTTGTAGGAGTTGAACTGATAAGAACACAGATTACTTAGATATTTTTTAAGATTATTTTTAAATTTTTGAATTTTAAACTTTAATTTGTGTCTTTGTCAGTACAGAAACAGGTTGCTTTATTTACTTCTTTTCTCGCATCGTCCCCTTAATGACGATACAGGGAAGATGTAAATTACTTTTTCATTTCTGGTCTTGGTTCATTTTGCTCCCCGTTCCCTATTTCTTGCAGCTTGCCCCTGTGCTTCTGTTTTTTGGTTTTTATATGTGCTTATATATTATTATTATGTGCTTATATTATATTATTTACTAAAGAAATATTGAATACATATATATATATATATATATATATATTCAATATTTCTTTATTTTATCATCTTAATTTGAAGTTTGTATGTTTTCACTATTTATATATATAAATAGATAGTGGAAATATTTTGAGAGTTAAAAACATTAACATGAAATGATATCTAGAAGGATCAAAATCAGTTAAAATCAGTAATACTGTCTGAAAAACCATAAGCAGTCGTGATTTTAAGTGATCACGAACTTTTAATTAAAAAAAGGACCGCAAATTTTAAAGTCGTTGATTTAAAAAGTATTTAAATTTTAAGAGTAACTTATATCTGTAATATCTCGCTTAAAAATTTTTGCATAGGCTTGCTTTCTATTTGTCTTCCTCTTTTCCTTTACTTTTACTCCTTTTCCTGTACGTATATTTAAAAATTAAGTGTGTGTGTGATTATGGCAAAGCCTCGAGGGCTATCTGCCTAAGGGGAGGGATGCCTTCGTGGAGGACTTTCTAAGGGAAACTGGCTCGCATGCACGTTACACATGGGGAAAACCACGAAAAACGCCCATGCAGCCAGCCCGTTCGCGGGATTCGAACCTCGGACCGAACTACCAGTGTTCAGCGACTTACCGCTCGGCCGCTGGTGGGACCTTTAAAAATTAAGAATAACGAAATAGTGTTACTGAACCAGTTGGTCATAACTATGAATACAAATTAATGAAATGTACTCTATAAACAAATATATTAGCAGAAATAACAAAAGGTTAACATACGTTTAAATAAAAATAAAACGGCAAAACCTGTCGATTATTAGCTTTTCGTAATTTAGTTTCTAGACATTATGGATTTAATGATTATATTCCTTTATACACCTCTATCTCCTCGTAAGTAAAATTAATTGTAAGTAACTTAAGTGAAGCTCTTAATTGAAGAAAGGAGCAATTAAAACTCCTCATAAAATATCACTTGTGTTGATGATGTTAAATGTATCATATTCTAAGCAGAGGTACATTTTTCATTGCTTTCTAGCATTCTTTTCTTTATCTCCTATTGACACAAAGCATAAATATTAAAATAAAAAATTTTTATTTTTTAATTATATAGAATTACCTAACCGGCGGTTACCGGTTTATAGTGACTTATTTTTTTTAATCCAGTGGCCGGGTGATATATGCACGAATGTTTTATTGCTATGTTCAATATTTACAAGTGCATTATTTTTGTTAGCTCTGCCTTAAAAGTGAACTTGCAGGTTAAAATAAAATATAAGATGTACTGCAATAATTAACAAAATAATCTTAGTCTTGAAATTTTCATATAAAGTAACGTAAAACAATATTATCAACAGCCTCTTTCAAACATTTCCTTTCCTTATACCTTTTCAGTAATGTTTCTTAATGCCTTCATGAGGGTGATATTTGTTTTTTAAAGGCAAAACTTTGTTTAATGCTTTCTCGATATTTAAATCAATTTGAATGGACTCTTGATGAAACTTCTGATACCTTGTTGCAACCAAATCGTGCATTTTTCTGTTACTGGCTGTCACATCCTCCAAGATGTTTAACTTAAAGAATATTCTCATCTATTATCGCATGTTGTTTCTTTAAAATCAATAAATATATTTAACAAAATAATGCAAAGGCGGAATTAAATTACCGGTGTCAATATACTTATTTAGAAACTTGTGAGGTTTTTCCGTATATATGAATTTTATATAAAAAAAAGTAGTATCAAAGTTTCTAATTAGTTTCACATCTTCCCTTAATACAGTGGAAACAAAAGGATTAACAGAATTTCTCTGCAATACTTCGCAAATACTACGATTAGCTTTTATCGTTGAAATAGCTATCAGCAATAGTAGAGAATAGTAGAATACTAGAGAATTTTTATGCTATAGGTTAAGAGTACAATGTATATCTAAATTTATCTACATCTTATTTTATCTTGTACAAAAACCTTTACTTTAGTAAATAATTGAAATGTTTGAAGGTTATCAACGCATTCTTTTTTTTTAATGAAACGTGTCCATTTCTTTGTAAAGTGTGTTAATAACTATGTTTATCATACAAATGATTATATTAATCTCATGAAATGTTTTCATAAATGCCATTATTAGATTGTTCTTCTGAAAATAAATAGAATTATTTTTTTAATTAGACTAGTCAAAGGAACCGGGATGCAAGTGAATCGAAAACTCTGATACCTGAACTTAAGGAAAATTCAGAAACTGAATCTACTAAAGATAGTTTTGAAAGTGAAGCTCCTAATTTATCTCCATCAGTGGGTGTTCTTTGCCTTCCTGTACCTGATATAGCGTTTCCTAGCATACCAAACACATTTTTAGCTAAGCTTGGAGTTCATAAAGATAGCCCTTTATCGTAAGTATTTGCTTTCCCCTATGTTTAAATGTATCGGGCGTGTGGGAAGTCCTTATGTCTACACGTAAGGAGAAGAAATTAAATTACGTCACTTGGCATAATTCTCCGAAAATGATACAGCTCACTCTATGTGATGATTTGGCATACATCATGTCACGCCACCTGTTCGGATCTTAACATTTCGACGGGCATGAGAATGCTGCATCATATTCACGAATACTAGGAACTTATCTAATTCCACAAGTGGAAGATTCAGGATAGCTGGAGACTCTCGAAAACAGAGATGACACAATAAGATAGTTGAAGCACAATTCGCTGTTTACGTGGGTGGCCTGTTAAACAAACAAACAAACAAAAAAATATACCCTGGGCCTCTGTTTTGGCTGTGGTTCTCCAACATCTGTAGTATCAGGCTCCATTGGGAGGAATTCAAGACATCTATCTGTCTTTGTGGTGTAGAGATCAGCACATTCGGCTTAAAAATTAAATGTTTATAACTTAAATCTGGTTTTAGGAAATGGCTGACATTTTTAAAACCAGATTTAAGTCCTATTAACAAAGACCCCCAATCGTTCTATGTGTTCAATTTGATCTCGTGATACCGAATAGCTCATTATTAGGAGAGAGGTTGCCAAGTATTACACCATGGCTAATAATGGCATAAACAGCTTTGAAACTTATTAATTTGTGTGACTAATACGAGGGAGTACATACCATCTTTTGGCAGCTAATCAGATATATTCTTTACAAAACTCAGAATTATAGAGACTTATATTAATGGATGCAGGGTTCTTCATCGCATTGTACATTGAAAATATCGATAAGAATTTTAAATCTCTTTCCTATCTTGTATAATTTTCTCTCAAATTTCATAATAGCAAGCAAACTGCTCAGGAAATATAAAGAAAAAAAATGAAAGCAAATAGGCTGGAATTTGCAAAGAGCTGCAAAAGCGAGGACCTCTGCTACTGGTCTTTTTCAGCTGTATTTATCTGTTTAAAATTCTTATTTTCTGATGAATTACTTAATTTAGTGAAATGGTAAAAAGCAAGAATATGCTGGCTGCTACTCCAATGAAAAGTCTAAAAAACGGATTACTCTCTTATGCTTCGGAATTACATGGCCCAGGACTTTATGTTCCATCTGACAACATTTTCAAGCTCGCTTAATAAAATACAAGATAATTAATGTTACTAATTAGTTGGACTGTCTGAACGCTAATGTTACTGATTAGCTGAGAGATTTCAGCGTGCAATTTCGCTTGTATTCAGAAATAAATGTGATTACTTGATTGATATCTACTCGAAACGCTGTAAACACTACACAGATATTATTTGCATATAAAAAACAATTTAAGATAATAATGACATTGATTCCAATATGATTTCATTACAAATGAGTTTTTTATAATAAATACTGCTTTATGAAATCATTAGTTAAATTTAATGTGTAAACAAAAGTGTCAAAGAAAATAACTCGCATTTTATGCTGCCTGAAAGCTTCATTTAGTTAAAAATATAGTGTTTGAAGACCTAGAAACATGTAATTTGTTTTGCAAGAAGGGAGAGATCCGGAATACTAATTGATTCCTGTAGAGTTGACTCCTCCATATAATTAAGCAGTGATAGGCTCGTGTATTCAAATAGATATATTAAGCTTCAAGCCATTTAATGCCTCTTCCTCTGTTATTTTTATTACTATATCATACGCCTTGGGAAATGAAAACAAATAAGGAAACAGATATTGTTTTGATCTAAGTCTTTTAAACTCTACATATATCTTACTTTCAGCGAATCTGATATTTCAAAAAGCAACTTCTAATTACTTCAAACTGGTTATTAGATAAAATAATAAATTTTCACTTAATATGCATATGATGATATTTAGAAAATTTTTACAGTGAATTTTAAATTATTTTTTTTTAGGGTTGAAGCATTTGATGAACAAGAACTTGAGGTAAGTTGATTAATGTATTATTTACCATTTAAACATTTAGATGCATAGTAAGCTATTACTTGCATTAATTATAAATAAATATTTCTTTTCATTACTAGAGCAAATTTATTGCCCTATCCCTGGCTTTCAAAACTGATCGTACAACTCTGAATAAAAGACTAGATGTAAATAAACGTCAACGAGATACGGCTGAGAAGAATGTGGAAATCGAATTTCAAGCAATGCGAGAAAATTTAAATGTAAGTTCTCAAGCAGCAAAACGTTTAATTCTCTTTTTAAAATGATAGAAATTAAAAATATATTTCATTCCTTAAAAGTATGCTAACTTTAAAATTTAGAAAATTCATTTGCGAACTTTACTGCAGACGCTCAATTACATTCTACTGCAAAGTTTTACTTTGTAATAGACCAGACATAACAAAAATTGCATAAAAATAAATTTGAATATTAAATTAAATTTAATAAGGATTTTAAGTATCTAAAATAAGTATTATAGTTTAGTCTATATGCATTCTTATTTAGAAATTAAATTAAGAAACAACGGAAAAATTAGGTATTAAATTCTGGATTATGGAATGAAAAGGCGTAAAATTTTTCATTATAAGGAAAATATCACTTGACTTACACTGCATGTTAATTTTAAGATTATCTGATGCATTTACACTTGTTAGCAATAATAAGAATTTGGAAACAAGAGTTACGCAATATCGATGCTATTTAGGCTTAAACCCATCTGTCAAATTAAATATTCTCTCTTGCACTCTCCTTATAGTGTAGCGATTAGTACATTCAGCTAAAACACTTAAAGATCCGTGGTGTGATTACCTAACAGGTAGGGCGTAATAATTTTTTACGTTTCCAGCTTCGAATGCCTAATGAGGTCTACATTCGTAATTACCTGCTCTAGTATCAAAATATCGGTACAAATTAGAATTTTAACTTTGAAATATCAAGAAAAGTAACAAATCCCAGGATATTTTTTTTTGGCGGGCAGTAGCCATTTTAGGCTTTGGCCACTGCTAAGGCCAGAAGCGGTGGCCACTTTATTATGGAGGCACCTAACTGACGATCACAGTTACCTACTATAAAGGGACAGAGAGTTTACATCCATGCCTTCTCTGGGAGTCGAACCGGGGACCTTCGGTAGGGTGGTCAGAGTCACTAACTACTGTCCCGTCTGGGTGGCAGTTCTAGCACAATAAATATACTGAACAGTAGGGCTTGAGTCCTAGGCTGAAGCCCTACGGAAGCCGATCAGTAACCTTGAAAAAAAATGAATCTGAATCATGTAGTAATAAATAAAGCAGGAAATAATAGTTAATTAAACTTTTAAAAATAAATATCTATACGATGTCTGTGTATTATGCCATTATAAGTTTTTGATCCAAAAGAAGGGTGGGAAATATTAAATATTTATTTCATTATCTCCACTGAACTTTCATTTTTTGTTTTTCAATTACTTACATTTAAATATTTAAATAACGGCCCAAAACTACTTCTACAAATATCTCGTTGTCTATGTACTATGAGAATTCAAAGTTGTGTCTTTTTAATATTATAATATTGAGTTATTTTATAGATAATGAATAATTAACTGAAAATTGAAAATTTAATTTAATAGCCTTGGCTTAATATATATAATTTTTTGACGTTTGAAAGTTGTATCAAACATTTTTGCAAAACAAATTTTAAATTTATGCGTAAACTTATTCATAAAGAAGTGTTAGCATGGTTAAAATTCACGCATTTATTAAGATATTTCGTTCTAACATACTCTAAAATTGCATAATCCATGACTTAGCACTGTTTAAGTATATGTTTGATAATCAGAAGCTTGTTTCTATTGTTTCTGAAGCATTAGCAAAGCAGCCCTAAAAGGTACTTGAATTTCTTTCCCGTTTGAGATGAAGAAAGTTATGTGAACAAAAAATATCATTAACATATATTTTCTTCCTCAGCTTTTCTTTTTTTGTTTGAAGCTACATGCTCTAAAAACACTGTATCTCCTACTTTGATAGAGAGTTGAAAAGTTATATTAGCGTATTTTGCAAATCATGAAATTTCCCGACCAGAATCGTTATGAGCACGCAGAAGGCAAAATAACCATATTCTATTTCAGAAGTCAAACAACAAAAATCAGCGTTATACCTACAAAATTTTGTAGGTATAACGCTGATTTTTGTTGTTTGACTTCTGAATTAGTATTTATTCGGCGTGTTATTGTGTCTTAATTAACCATATTCTATGCTTAGAATTTTTCTATTTATTGATCTACATTTATTTTAATGAATACTGTTTTTTGAAGAATACTGAAGAGGTTTAATTACCAGAGTTAAATACTCTTGTTAGTTTTTCCATTTAACAAGAAGTTACTTTATTGAAATGTACAAATTTTATATCACGTTTTAACCTTTGAATCTTACTTTATACTTTCAAAATGCTGTATCAAAAAAATTTTAAATTCTTACAGATACTCAACCTTAAAGCTTCTAGTCCTGATATAAGAGATGTGATTTCGAAAATTCAGAATCATATTGACGTTGCTCAGCAAGCTACATTTAGAATGTCTAGTCGCTCTGAAACTTATGGTTCTGTTCAGCAGGTAAGAAGCACTTAATAATTCTTCTGTCATATGCAGTAAAATGTTACTATTGCAGGCAATCAAAAGACGACAGTGCTTATTTCTACGAACAGGAATGCAGTTTAAATAAAGAACATACAAGTACAAATAGGAATCAGCGCTAGGAAGAGGACTAACGTATAATTAGCACATAAGGTTAGTAACTTTTAACCTAATGCAGATTACATATAGGACAGGGCAGGAATAAGTGTGTAGGGCACTAGCACAGCGCCGTACGCAAAATTGCCTTAGCATAACTGTTCCCAACCTTTTTCCTTTCTTGTACCTCTTAATAAGACATACTGTAATTCTTAAACGCATCTAATCTCCTCCTTAAAATCCTACAACCCGCTGACACTCATTCATTATTCTCGAAATATATCTTGCAATGCTTTCATTTTAATACCATAAAATTAATAAACTGAAATAAATAAATTCAGAAAAGTATAAATTCTTCTTTTTCAGAAAATTTTAATTTTGAAACTGTTTAAAGGAATCTTTCATTGACAAGATCTGAAATTCAATTGTCTTTCTCACTTCGTTTGGGCATTTAATGTTTTAACGACTCTTGTAAGCCTTATACGAGTGGGTTCATATGCCCTCTTTAACTTATTTTATAAACTGAAGCTGGTTTTTCCGGCAAGAATTTGTAAAGTGTCGCGAATATTTTGGCCTTATTCCTTTTCAATGCATGGTTCCCAGAAATCTAACTTTTTGGGCATTGAACACAGAATCAGTTTTGTCAGACGCTTTTTAAGCAGTTATGGAACTGTTCAGCAGTCCTAAGCTCAGTTTATTTAATTTTGAAAAAATATCGTTTACTCACGCAAGCCTTTGAAACAGTTCGTCATTGTGGATTTTCATGCTGATTTTGAAACGGTGGTTTCTCAAACTTTGCTAGGCGCAGACACCAAATCGAAACTGTTTGCGATAAGTAGCTTCTGTAGTATGCAAAGATCCATTTCTTAATTATTTTTTCATTTTTATATAAACAACATCTTATAATTCGCAGTTTTAAAAGAATAGGAATCTAAAACAAAGCTTCACACTTAACCCTTTGTTGCATCATGCCCACTCTAGTAGACAAAAGTTTAAATTTGTTTATTCTTCCGTGAATGCCTTAACAGATTCCATTTCTGTGTTTATTCATTCTATATTATTAGAACTTTCAACTGTCGATCACAGATGGCTCTATAGCATCACTAAGTAAAACATTGCTATTTGGAAAATGGCTGCTACTTCTGTTTCCAAGTTAGTACAATTTCTCATAGTAAACATTATATAATATTGCTTACATTTTCTTATAATGCCCTTTTTTATTCATAATTAGTAATTTTAGACATTTTATTTTAAATGTCAGTTTGAGAAAATTGTGGAGTGGGTAGATAAAGACCGAAAAGAGTGAATTGAAACCCAAATGTACTGTTTATCAAGCCAAAACACCACTGGAAATGTTTATGTTTGGCAAGGAATTTCTAGAACATTTGGCATTTGAATCCAATAGGTACAGGTTACAAAATCGTAGCAAAATGAATTCAATCATAATCGACGAAATGAAGGTATTTTGGAGGATCTGTATTTACATGTTAGTTGTAGATTTACCATTTAGAAGATGGTAATGATCACTGCAAACAAGGCAGAAAATGATTTCAAATGAAATGACCATAAATCGTTGGGAAGAGATTTGTATGCATGCTGTCCACTGTAGTGAACAAACTGTAGCAATTATTTAAAACGAAATTTGAATAAAATTTTTTTTATTATTACTAAGGTTATTTTAGGTAGAAAAAATACAAACATTTTCGTTTAATTTCTCTAGATTATTTGTATGCAACAAAGGGTTAAACTGGTTTGTATATCACAGTTTAAAGAAAGAAAGCTACATAATATGACAAGCGCGGGCGGGACTAGCTACAATTTACTACATTGATTTTAAACCCATTTCGGATAGTACTGATTTTCTAATCAATGCCCTATTTAACTTTTCTGAATATTTTGATTTTTATCAGCATTTCTTATAACACTTTATTATTTCCTGCCATTACTTTTCCTTTTTTACGTACTCCTAGGGGTACGCAATGGCATAAGCAGGCGTATAAATAAGCATAAGCATATGATGGTAAGTAAGCATAAATTATAAATAATAGAAATAAATGATATAAATAAATAAGAATAAGATATAGTTGCATAAGATAAGATAATAAATAAGCTTAAGATATAGATAATATAAATAAATAAGCATAAATTACTAGCATATATAAATTATTGGCTCCGAGAACTATTTAAAGATTCAATACCGGACCTGAAACCCTTAGAAGCCGCCATATTAGGAGGAAGGTGGTCATCCAAGGCAAAAAGAGTCCAACTTGAGAGCATAAAGTATCTCGCTACACCGCCGCCTCGTACCATACTTACAGGCGATGGATTAAAAAGTTCTCTCTCCTCATGGCTGAACAGGTCAACCGGGATCACCACTCGGGGTGAACTGAGACCACCATGAGGTGTGGTATTCTATAAGCCTGGAAGTTTATCGATCGTTGGAGCGCTCCCGCCAGCACTACGCAGGCAGTCCACCGGCTGAAGGTTTTACACGGAATATCTGTGATGACCACGGACTGTCCATGGCAGCGCACCGCTACCAATACCATGTCTTTACACGAAATTCGAGTCAAGAAGCAGAGCCACGCCCGCTACCGATACCACCAGCACGATGGCTTATAGCCTTTTTTCCCTCGGTGTAACCGTACAGACAGTCTTTCATCAGGGTTCTGGAACCGCCAAGCTTACAATGCTTTTCCCCCAGGGTTTTCTGTCAAGACATAGAACCAAGCCAGCACTGCACTCCGGGAAGGTGTAGGCATAAGATACAGATGGCATAAGCAGGGGTCTCTCAACCTGTGATGCGGGTACCCCTGCGAATTACGCGTACCACAAGTTGAGAGCCGCTGCCTTGGCACACTAACTGTGTCTAGATGAACTCAGATCCGCAAGGGCCTGCAAGCGTACAGCGTCAGGAGTTTATTGAAATTTAAAAAAAAAAAAAAAAAAAAAAAAATGAAAACGAGAAAAAGAGGCTCACAATGTTTTGTACATACTTCCTGAAACATTGTTCAAAGGTTTAACACTGGTTTTCACTTTGAAGTTAGGAGTAATAGCAGTATATATGGGGTTCTGACAATACTTTTGTAGTTTGGTGGTTCAGATTGTCGGTGACACTTTAACAGATACTGTTGGTTACAGAGGTTCCATTTAGCAGTAACACATTAGGAAATGATGTTTGGAGTTTTCTCAGCAGATATATATGATAAATGAAATGGTGTTTCAATATGCAGTAAATATCATAAATTGTATAATGGATACTTTAAATGGTGTTGCAAGATACATGCAAGATGCTTAAATTGGTGGTACAATATTGGCCTATAATTGGAGTGCGACTGTATTATATATAATGCATGCGGTAGAATGCACAAGTTATAAAAGATATGAAACACTATAAATGCCTTATATACACCAGTTACGATAGAATATGATGGTATAGCATGATGGTATAGCTACAATACATGCAGATTCGTTAGATGGTTGGAAACTTTGGGTTGTTTAATATTTGGTTAGGTAATTTCTGTTGGTGTTAGAATTAGTTGCCATTTATTGATAGCTAATGTGATTAGATTTAATCAGTGGTCACTTATTCATAGTTCATAGTTTGTTTGAAGTTCACAGAGTTCATTGACTGATCCCATATGCGTCTTACAGTATAATAATTCATAGCTTCTGGCAAGTTACGTAAGTTTCTATTCTATTATAGCAAAAAATGCGTATCACTGAAGGCAAAAAGCACTGAAGGCAAAAAATGCGTATCACTGGTAGCACATATTGGCGCAAATTGCCCTTGACCTTTAATTAGAAAGCACATTTTCCTCCCTTGTGGTCCTAATGGCTTAATTGGGAGGCTCTAAAGGCACAGTTAGGCGCCTTCGAAGAGACACTTATGTAGCATTTTGCTCTCCTTTGTGTCTTTGAAGATTTGAATATTGACGACACAAATATACATAGGTATTATTCTTGCATCGCTGAAAGCGCAGGCTTTAGAGTAAGGTGTCAAGGACGGTACAACTCAAGATCTTGGCGTTGGAGCGCTTCCAAGATGGCTTTAATGTGGTGTTGAATTTTGAGGTGCTTAATCATGAATCTCTTAAATTCAGTGTCAATATCTATGGCATACCTAATGTGCTTGTTCTCTGTTAGACAGCACTGGAAACATATAGTGGTCTTTCTCCATATACACATATAACTTTAAGGGACTATGTTGCTTTTATGGAAGTAGACGGAGAAGGGGCCGTGTCCGGAGACTTACTGAGAGAAGCAATGGGAGAAGCATTTTCATTAGTTTTGTAGGCTTAATGTCCTTGATGTTCTTTCTATCATTGATGTTGTCGCTTTTTGTGTGCAAGGTTTTTCAGCTTTAGTTTTAGGGCATATCTAGGCCACGGGGTTTAATTTTGTAGCCCCATTGCTTGACGTTTGCATATATGATACATAAATATAAATGAATAAAATGAAATAACTAGAAAGAATGCTCTAACCCTTTTAACACGGATATCATCCCAGAGTATTCAGCATATTTTGAATTTCATGTGTCATCAGTGGCGTAATATTTTTTATTTTTTCGTTACCACTGAAAGTGTTCTTTATTAGAACATTAAAGATTTATTTGTCACATGACTCATCCAAAATAATAACCTCATCATAAAAAAAAGTATTAGCAACAGCTGCTGTTAATAGCGCATTCTCATCCAAAGTTTTTAGTAATTCCATTCGAAGCCTTTTCACTAACTGTTATCAAACTCCAAAGGAGGATGCAGTTGATGATGGTTATAATCAAACCACTTGCCAAGGTCACTGAAGCCATTGTATTGCCTGAAGAATATTCAAGTCGTAGCTCAAAGGAATGAGCAATGATTGAATTGATAACATGCCCATAAAGATCCGTTCATAGTGGATTTCCAAATATTTTTCAAAGTTTTCACCCCTACACTGCAGCGCTCAAATGTAAGTTAGATGAAAAACAGTAACGTTGAATGTTTTCAGATTAAAACATTTTCGAGAATGAGAAGGGACGTTATCCACGAACAACAAAAATTGTCATTTCTGCTTATAAAATTATTTGTCCAATTGCGAACAAACTTTGGGCGAAGGGAAGCTTGCCTTTCTTTTGAAAAATACATCGTCTTTTTCCTACTATAAAAAATTAACGCACTGTCTTTTTATAATTTTCTATAATATTCATTATTTTTTAATCTACCGAAAGTTATTTACATCGTACATTGTTTCATGACTCTAAAACGTCTGGTTTCATAGATCACACATAAACCAAGAAACAGAAATCTTTCAGATTCACCTCAGTGCTCTAAATTATCTTGAAAAGAATGCATAGAATTCCCAAATTTGATAAATGGAAAAATTGATAAAAATCTAAATATTATTTCTTAAATAAATTCTGAATTCTGTCAACGGGAAAAATCTTTTGACCTTATGGTCATTGTAGTACACTAGATTTTCGTTTGCATTTTAAACTTTGATACCTAGCTTCTTGTTGTAAAACAGAGGATGCTTTCTATTCTCATAATGCCAATTTAACTTTTTATGTGAACATTAATGACAGTTATACACAGTTTACATTGGTATATTAAATCTATTTCTAACATTAACTGATATTCAGTGTTAGTACTGGACATTAAATTTGCTTAAGCCTAAAACGTAATTTTTTAACCTCTAAAATTTAAAAATCTTAAACTTTTAACCTGAATTGGTCTTGAAATGGTTATGAGTATTATGAAAGGTTATTAAGTGCACTTACTAATGCGAAATATTTTTATTTCTCAAAGCTTTTGCTTGGTTTCTTTTATAGGGCAATTTTCGAACAATTAATTAGCTATGTTGAATTTTAAATCTATACCACATTTTTGCATCAATTTTAAGTGATATCATGTATATTTATTACTAAATTATAAATAAAGTTTTTAAATGTGATGCCATATTATTTACATACAGGAAGAACGAGTTAGCCGTGCTTTTGAAGTTTTAGTATTGTACGTCGATCACCTGAAACGCTTGTTTGATAAGGAACACAAGGAGCTTGAAGAAACAAGGCGCATGCTGACAGATACTCGAGTGTTCCGGAAAGATATAACAACAGATGGTATTTCAGACGACCAAAAGAAATACTTGAGAACATTTGGCTTACCTGCTGGCTCTATCAAATCGGTAAGTAAACCTTGTATTGCAGGTCATTCGCATAATAATAGTAATATATCGACTTAACTGAATTGAATTTTTTTGAAATCTGTCCAATATTTCAATGCTGGCAACAGCATTTAATCTACTTTATAATTAACTGGTATCTTTTCGAATGCAAATTGCTTAGAGAATACCGGAAAATGGGACTGTTGTATGGCCATTATTAGGGTTTGCACTATGTGTAACATGAACACGAGCCTATTTTCCAAGATAAAATTTATCCTGGAAAGCTCCCCTTCTCTTGAACAAATAGTTCTCCCGTCCTTTGCCATATTCGACTATATAAGCAAAGCCCATTCTCAGACTGATTAAAGTAGATTTCGGAGTATAAATGCATACAGCTTTTGTATTAATAAGTAAACGTGCTGAATTGCCATCAGAGCACATTTTCATTTTTCCAGTTAAAACATTTTCTTTGAAAAAAAAAATGCGGATTCCTTTTATCTTGGATTAGAAATGTTAGCAGCTCAGCAAGCTTTCTTGTTTTTATGCCTGAAGATCACAGTGTATATCAAAAATATTTAAGCCTAATTACAATTGTGTTTTCAAATAGCCCTTGTACAAAATTTCTATATTATAATAGAAGTAGTTAAAATTCATTTTAGTCCATTTAGTTTTGGGCATGAAGATGGATCAATGTTTTAATCTCTGCTTTACAATATTTTTCTCACTATTGTGAGGGCATATCTATCTCTGTTTTTAGGTTTATTCGTGCACATTCTCTTAAAGCAAACTCAAGGGGTGTAATTTGAGTTTTTAAGACTGATTTATTTAACTACGGCAAAGCACACAAGGGATATCAGCCTAAAGGGAGGGATGCCTTCGTGGAAGACATTCTAAGAGGAACTGGCTAGTATACACTTTGAAGAGGAAAAAACGAGAAGATTTCTTTCCTCCAAGCTGACAGCCCCTACAGCTTGAGTTGCAAGTTTAAAAATCATATACTTTACTTTCTGCAGTTCTGAATATTTTCTGTGATTAAGCTCTAGTTTTAGGGCATATCTGGGTTTAGTTTTATGTTATATCTAGCATATCAATCCTTGAATTAGCAATCTTTGTGAAATTTAATTTAGGTTATTCACTTATAGGCATTTTCCTTTAGTTTCATGTTTCTAAGGTAGTACACTCACGAGTCTCTTTTTCTGTTAAGTGTGAATTCTAGGTTGATGTGCCAATGCTTATATACTTTATTGCAAGAATGTTGACTTATTAAATGAGTAAAATTTAAAAGGCTAAAGTTTTGGACAATTTTATATACAAATATTACTAACCAATTGCTAATAAAAAATATACTTATTTTTAGCTACAATCTGATAAATTTAAAGACTTTCAGAGAGGTGTAAAGCTTAGGAAGACTATTACATGAAGTTAAATTGATTTGGGAAACAGTTAACTTTAGAAACCCCTCATTTTAAGCATTGGAAGAAGGTTATTATACTTTACAATATAATAATAACAAAAGTGATAAAACTAAAAACAGCAATAATAATAGAGTAAAAAATTGAAAAGAAAACAGACAACATTTCATTTGAACATCTGTTTATTGAAAGTCAGTCTTACTAACAAAAATTTCGCTATGAAATCTAAAAACAACATGCGCAGTTCTCTCGATAAATATAACAGCAAATAGTTCTGAGGTAGTTAAAGTCTGTATCTTTATTCAGTTTGTACAAGGAATGTTTACGCTGTCTCAGAAACTCCATTCTATTGTAATATAACTATAATATCATTTTCGATTAATCTGATGATGAAAGGACGTATTTGGCGTTTTGAGGAATTTCATTTTTATCTTAGCTACTGTAGATGAAAGACTGGCTGTAGGCCTTTTGCAGCCAGGTGTTTCCAAAATTTAGCGGTTCCTAAATTCTGCCGTTGAGTGCCTCCAAAAATTTATCGTCCTTAAATTTTGCTACCCGGTGTGCCCGAACTGGTTGCATCGACTTTGGCGTTGGCCCTATTTGGATTTAATGTTATTTTTAATATATTTGACAACGCAGGTCTCATATAATACCTTAATTAATTTTATTTCCATTTTAATCGCTCTAGATATTCATAATTATGACTATAATTCTGGATATTTAAAATACACATTTTAAAACGTACTGAAGGCAAAATTCGTTGGGCCATTTTATTATCAGTTACATAATTTAAAATTGCCTCACTATGTTTTATTTGTAATTCATTATTTTTGTCTGAAAGGAAAAGTTTAAGTACATAACTCATTAATTATATCTTATATATAGCTAATATATCTGATAATAATAATAATATGATGATATTACATTAGTAATTATATTATAATATATGCTATGATAATAATCTCATAATAAAATTATATCTGATTTATCTCTTACTACAGCTGATAATAATATTCGTGAAAATTTATGATAATTCATGATGTAATTGACATAATTATAATATATTTAATATAATATGTGCCTGACTTATTTTAATTTTCTTCAAGTACTTTAAGTTATCTTAAATATTTCCTACTTCCCAGTTGCCATTCAAGGTAGTATGAAGATTTTAATTTGCACTTCTTTATCACAAAAATGATTAAAAAATATCTAACTTTACTAAAATATATATTGTATTTTACTACTTCTTGTCTCTTCTGCATATTTTGAAAAGCATTTCAACGCATGATACGAAATCTCGTAAATAATCTAATAAATGCAAAAGTTTTATCTCACAATCTGTGTTACAATTTTTTTTACATGAACTTTCGAGTCGTTGTCTTATTTTAATTATTATCAGTTTAAATATAGTTGCACCAGAGGAAATAAAATAAATCTTGTATTGAGCATTTGATTCTTGTAAGAATTTATAGTGATGATTTTGTAGATTCATTTAAATATTACTTCCTCTTATTTATTCATACCTTCGAAAATATTTCTTTAATATTTATTCGCTTTAAGTTACGAATGAATATTTAACTAGGTAAACTTTATTTTTGACTTTAAACAGTGTTCCTGTTTCTTTTATCATAGATGATTTAAGTAATTGTTAATTGTTAATGCATTAATGGATTATAGTATAATAAATAATAAGTTTGCTCATCATTTTGTCATTAAGAGAGATACGTTTCAAGCAAGAAATATAACTTCTCTTTTTCTGCAATAGGAATCATTATGCGCTATCGAAGGGATTATGTGTTGCAGTATCTTTAAAAAAAAATACTGTATAGTTTTAAAAAGAAACATGTTTATCATTATTTATGTATTCTCTAGCAAACACTAAACTAGTTAGTTTATCATTATTTATGTATTCTGTGACGAACACTAAAATAGCTATCTCCATTGTAAGATTATTCAATTTCCTTGAGCGTTTAAAGAACCACCCACGAACTAGCAAAAATTGGATTTCATATTTTTTTCTTTTCTTATTTTTTACACACCTGAAGAGAAAATATAGATAAAAGGTGATTAGGTGGCAGTAAACTGGATCTGAGGATCTTCGATTAAAACAAATCGCCATTAATTTGGTCTTTGAACTTAATGGCGGTTTATTTTACTACTAGATTCAATAATCCTTGTAGTAAAAAAAATGTATTACTTTATTTGAACTGAAAGATTTATTTAGTGAGTTTTAGACTTCATTTTTCGCATTGAATTAATGATTATGGACGAATCTTTCTGATTATTTGAATAAATTAAAGTTTGCAAAATTTTGTAAAGTTTAGAGGCCACATGATTCTTCGATTAGCGATTGTTGGATAGTCGATGCTACTAATTCAGTCTAGAAACTGGGAGAACGCCATTGGTTCTGAGAGATCTTTTCTATATTACATGAACTAGAAATCCTTGGTTACACCAGTTCCCGTGGCAATAAGAAGGAATTTGTCAAAACAATTTTCGCATAATTTTCATTGATTTTTTCTTGAAAATGAAGAAGCCGAAAATTCCTTTAGCAGAAGCAGCAGAGCGAACTGTTATTATCTTAAAATGTAGTTATTTTAAATCTGTGAGATTGCCTTATTGTATTATATTTAAAGACTCCTGATGACTGATTGCATTTAGTCAGTCCCGGAATAAAATCTTTTATATAAAGTGCGTCCGGTTTACAAAAAACCCACACACAGGTATCTACCGAAAAGAAATTTACCCAAAATATTTTTACCATCTCTCAAGTAAAGAAAACCCAAAGTTGTCAAGATAAGTGATTATTTGATGCCAAGCGCAAACTACTACACTTTAATGAAAATTTCTCCCTTAATTTAGTACTTTTTAATGCACCTTGTGCGAACAAATATGTAATTAATAAAGAATCATTTTCTACCAGTGAAAGAAAGTTACTTGAGTTTTATTTATTTTTTATCGCAGATAGGTAGACGAAGAGCTAGTGTTGCAGATTTTCATCAACATTCTATGCCTGAGAGCTGCAAACCCCCTGGTTTAAGCCAAAGCTGGACATCTGGCTTTTGTATGATGAAGGTGGTAAGCTAGTTGTTAAAATGTTTTCTAACGACTTCTAATATATGTGATGGTAAATTAATGATTAAGCTGTTTAACATTATTTTCTGTTGTGTTTTGCATTAATATTCTGGAACCTACTAAAACCTCTAAATATAAACGACTGGAGTTTAAAATATTGTTTCACATTAATTTTTCAAATGCTATTTTTATATACTTAACTTTTTACTGGCACCGGACAATATTTATACAATAGGACCTGTTCTATACAATAGGAATACAATAGGAATACAATAGGAATTGCGGACAATAGGAGGGAAATTAGCATGATAAATTCCCACAGATTATAAATAAAATATAGAAAGAATATACACATATAGAAAGAATTTTATTTTAATACTGGCGTCGCATGAGTAAATGAAAATCAGTCTGAATCCCAATTATATCAAAACAGAAAAAAAAAAAGAAAATATTTTTTTTTCATGCTCTCAGTTAAGAAAAAGAATTGTCTAAAACAGAAACCTAAGATAAGAACAATTAATTTGAACTTTTGTAATATACTGGAACTGTTTCACCATTTTATTATGTATGTATTTTATTTACTTACAACATCATTTATTTTGATTTAGCTGAATAGAAACGTTAATGTCTTATGAGGGAATTTTATTATTCTCTCACTTCTCTCTTCTATTATCGTAGACTATTTTCAAACGTTATCAGTGTTACATTTATGATATACGTATACTTATCCGTTACCCAAATTTTTTGTAAACATTTAACTTATACCCTTCCTTACAATTTGATATGGAATTTTTATTTTCAAAATAGGAGTCAAAACAACGCACACCGGGCCCATTTCCAACTACATGTGTAGGTTTGAGCGGCAGTAGCCTGCCTACTTCCCCAATAACTTCCATATCCCCTTCTAGAACAGGTACTATTAGAGTAAATGCGAGACGTCGTTCCTTACCTGCTGCTAGTCCTATGGCACCACAAAATATGCTGCAGAATCTCGAAGTACCACCTGATGTGCCAGCTCCGAAACCATTACAATATCTCTCTGTTGATAAACAACTTACTGGGAAAAAGGACCGAAATGTGTAAGTAACTATTAAATATGAAAGAAAGATTTAGTTTTCTCAGTGAATGCATTAAATTTGCGTATGTGTCTAAATTTCTTAGCCTAAAGCGAAATTGCTTAAATATTACTTTATCAACAAGCTATCTGGTGCGACAACGCTACTCTGAGACCTCTACTTGCATACCTTTTATATGGGTAAATTAAATTGAATGGTTTAGCATAATATTCTACGTAGTTTTTTAAAATTATGGATACATTTGGCATGGGTATTTACATTGCAGCATTTCAACAGACATGTAGAGTCATTCGGTTATTTGAAGCAGGAGAAGAGAAAAATATACAGTGCTCTCGCCGGGACCCGAACATAGGACTTCTAGAATACGCGTTGAGTATGCTTCCAATTACACTACGAAGGCATACGGAAAGGAGGGAGAAACACCTTACAGACATACTCTCTTCTTCAATATATTACTCTGTGGAGTTTTCTCGGAAGTCAGAAAATTACATTGCGCTTCATTGTTAGCCAGTTTTAAAATTAAGGCACCACCTAATCTTAAAAGTAAACTTAAAATAACGATATCCTACAAAACTTCGTGTGTGCCGGGAATCTGGGAGTGAGTATAAGCATTTGAAACTGTTCACTCTGTAGAGTCATTAGGTTAATTGGAAGCAGAAGAGATGAAAAATAGCAACCGCCTTCGCCAGGAATCGAACCACGGACCTCGGGAATACCGGCCCAGCGTGCTAGCGTTACACCACGAAAGCACGATAGGGAACTGGAAGAAATACCTTATAACTCATGAGGATGTTAACTTAATATATCTATTTCGTTCAATGAGTCTTTTGCAGAGACACTTTTTTTGACAAATGACTTATTGCAGTTACAGTGATGACGCGCTCTAGTTACAAATGAAACGTACACACATGTACACACACAAAAAAAAGTCTGGGATTATTCCTATTTAGTAAAGGTAGATTTAACTTGATGGTAAACTCTAAAAATATGTTAAAATATTGAATTAAAATCTTTAAAAATTAAGGAAAATAGTATAAAAAAGATTTGATTATGTTTATTTAATAACGGCAAAGCAGGCAAGGGCTATCTACCTAACGGAAGTATGCCTTCGTGCAAGAATTATTAAGGGAAACTGTCTCATATACACGTTACCGTTAGGGAAAACATGCAGCTAGCCCATTCGTCGGGATTCGAGCCCCAGACCGAACTAACAGTGTTCAGCGACTTTACCGCTTGGCCGCTGGTGGGCCTGATGTAAATTAGATCATGACACAGAACTGCAATATGCAAGTGAGTTATTATAGCAGTGCTTGCTTCTTCATTAGCACTGCTATAGCATTCTTCATTAGCATACTATAGCAGTGCTTACTATAGTGCTTGCTTCTTCATTATTTCTTCTTCATTAGCAGTGCTTGCTTCTTGAAGGAAGCGTTAAAATATTCAGAATGAAATACGGATCGATGAAGTGTAATAGGGTATTGTATGAAATTGTGTATGATATTGTTTCAAAATGTATGAATTAAATATGAAAATTAAAGCGGTCGAATATTCGTTCCTACTTCAGTTACATAAAGGCACAGTTTTGTATTTTTATGGCGCAGGGCTTAAATTCATGCGTTTTAAGTAGAATTACGAATTAAAAATTTTTTAAGTAGACAAAGGAATTTTTGCTTTCAAAATATGTTTCAGTAATATCTTCTAAAAATGAATGTATTTAGAGTATTCAATTTTTTTTATTCCAGTCTTCAATGCGCTACTTTCATATTATATGAAATTACTGTAATTTTATAAATTACTTTCTTATCAAATAAATTTACTAAAGTATTTCGAAGTTTGCTTTTAAAAATCATAAGTGTGCTTTTTTAAAACTTTTTATTGGAACAGTTATTAAGTTTTTAACCAAGACTTTAATAACTCAGTTAAAAGATGGATAATATTTTTAAATACTTTTTGAATTTAGTGCTACATATTTTTTGCGTCCATTTAATTACTCAAAATTTTTAATTAGATATATATGTGTACACCAGTAGTTAATTTGAAAAGTTTTACTTTTAGAAGATCAAACAAAGTACTATATTTCATCAATAGCTGAGGTTAAATTATCACCTATTCTTATTGTTTCACCTATTCTTCTGTTTTCTTTATTTCTTATTCTGTTTATTATTCTGATTTCGTGCCGCCAGATCAAGTTTTTGCAACTGCAGTTCTCAAATAATGTGCCTGTGATTTTACTTCAACAAATGACTCCATATATATTTTTATAAAAATATGTTAGATGTAATTTATAACAATTTCATTGATAATTTTATTATTTATTAAGAAAATATGTTTTGGATAGATACTAAAAATTATTAGTGCATCAAATGCTAGATTTAAACCTTGTTAGCTTCCTCAGGTGTTCGGTTCCGGGTCAATTTTGCAATTCCCAGTTCGGTTAGTCAACTGAGTAAACTCTTTCTTCGTTTTGATGCTTAAATGCGAAAGATTATCTTTTAAAAAACTGTTAACAGGGGCAACTTTCTTCAGTCAGATAGCCTTCTCTTAATTTTCTATTATCAAATAAGTTCTTGCAGCAAATTTTTGTCAAGGCACAACAGTTTTTAAATGACTGGAAAAAATATTCATGTTTTGAAGTAGAATTTTAAATCTTTTGCTATTTTTAATTTTTTAGCTGGACCAGAAAGTTGTCTTCTGTAACTGATGAAGCAGAACAATCTGAAGATGAAACTGAAGCAAAAGAAAATGATGAAGACACAAAGGATATTAACTTATCTTCTTCGGAACGAGTGGGAGATAATGTTCAAGATGATGCAGACATTGAAGACCAGTATGATAAAACTTTTAAGTACATTTTTTTACATGCTTATTTGATTGCGTGCTGTGTTTCAGTGGCATGAAATACTATGTAAACTTTTACAAAATAACGGGACAATATGTACTCTACACGTGAAATAAATACCGCAGTGACTATAATTACAAGTTATTGCTAAAAGCCAAGGCATCACAGACATGACGCATCCAGTTGTGAGTTTCAAATAATTACAGTGGGCGTTTTCGTAGCTACTACTAATAATACAGATCTTAAAATTATAAATTATAAAATCAAAATAAACCAAACCCAAATACTAATAAAGTATTAAAAGTATATTTATATGGCAGTACAGTGATTAATTTTACAAATTTGATGTTAAAGTGCTAAATAAGAATGCGATTCCTTGTTTTACTCCAGAAGTGATTATGCAATCAAAAGTAAATTTCCGAGTAAATATTTGCTTCATTTTTATCTAATTAAACCTAAAGTAAGCATTTTTATAGATGAAGTCATATAGAAAGATTGAAATTCATCAATAAAATGACCAGTAAAAAATCGCTAATCAATTTGAATATGAAATTTTTGGCTCGGCATAGTTATTTGCTTTGAAGTATGTTATTACCAAAGTTATGTAAATTTGTTTTTCTTGTCTTTGAACGTTTGTTAAATCGGGCTTCCGTGCAGTCTGCGCATAGGTTTCTCATGAACAATTTCAGCTGACTCATGATATTAAGTACTTTTTTTACTCAAAACGGTTTCCTTTTTCTTATTATCTTCCAGTGCATTTTTTCTTGTAAGCTACTTCTGGATAAAATTATGCTACTATTGTTTTCTAAATTGTACTGATTATTGTTTTGATTTCAAACATATTTATCAGAGTTGAAATTAACAAATTATTTTAAAATAGCAAAAAAATTTACTGGAATTTTCTAAAAAAATTTAAAGTTTCGGAAGCTGTCGTTTAAATTTCGCTAGGATTACACAGGAAGGAATGAAATTCGTATTTCCATTTCTCTGTTAGCTACAATAATGAAACAAACTATTAACATATCATAAACCAATTAAGAAACTGAACGCAAAATTTTTTAAAATTTTTCTGCTGTTGGTAATCCTGAATAATAGCTCAATTGATATGGGATAAAATAATTCAAAAATAGAATATGGGAAGTCTGAAAACTAATTTAATATTATAACTTATCATAGTAAGTAATTTATATATGTGAAAACAAATTTAGTTCCAAGCTGAAAATAAATATGAGTCGTTGTTTTATTCTTTCAGATTATTTGCAAAGATATATTTATGCGTAGTATTTGACTTGGATATTTTTTATTTAGATCAGATGAAATTGAATCACAGGGAGAGTTAAATTCTGTCGGTGATAGCGGTATTTTCAAAATTATCCCTCAAAATAACATACTTCTGAATTTTCGGTATGTACTCATCAAATTCTTATTGTTTTAATCTTTATTCCCCTGTTCATTGATTTCATCAAAATGAAAGTGGAATGTTTATAACGCATATATGCATGTTTAGATATATTGAATTTTATCGTTGTGATAACAATATTCAAAATAAATTCTTACAGTTTCATTTTGCTGCAATTTGCTTTTATAATTTTAAGAAGTTAGACTTTAAGAAAATCTATGTATTTAAATGTCCATGCATTTAAAAATTTATTGAGAACTGTAGTTTAGCAAAGACATTTTTACATTGTAGATTTTGCGATGAATAACATGTCCTCTTCTAAGGTTACTGTATGATACCGACTTCTAACGTTATTATACCATACCGGTTTATGCATTTAAAACATCAGATTGACTTGCAAAAAGGTACACGAAAATGATTATGCAATCGAAATTTTTAGAGATTATTATTATCTTGCTATCATTTCTTTTCTTCTCACGCAAATGAATTAACATTTCAGCTCTTCATGTGCAAATGATGTCTTGTGATATTTATTTATTTATCACCACTGAGCAGGTTTCTGACCTAAGGTGTATACCAAACAGAATAAGGCCTGCTCAGCAAGTACAATCCAGTAGCCGCCACCACCAGTATAGCGCTGTATTTTTTTAAAACAAAACCAAAGTATATATAGTAGCAGTATTTCATAAATAAAGGCAACTTGCATTTCATATGCTACATATAATTCATAGTTATAAGTTGGTACTTAATATAATAAAAAGCGAAGTTGCTGATTGAATTTTAGAAATATTTAATATAATAAGGAAAACAAAAGACAAAATAAAAATAAAAACAAAATAAATTAAGGGGAAAAATAAAAATAAAACAAAAATAAAATAATGAAAGAAAGATAATGTATTAAAATAATAATTATAATAAAAGCAGGCAGATGAAAATTGCCCCGCCTTCCGACAATCGAACCACAGACTGTACCGCCCGCGTGCTGCCTTACCCACAAGCACGCTGGGAAGTGGGAGAAATACCTTATATCTCCCCTTTTTAAAGGGCGACTATGGTTTGGGGACCTAGTCCCAAATCTGGGGCGAATCACATCCACAACCCTTTTAGTTCGGGCGCCACTTGTAGAGTCATTAGGATTTTTTTAGAAGCAGAAAAGATGACAAATTAGCAATTTTCCTTTTTTTTATAGACATGTGAATTGAAAAGCGGGCGTGTATCATTATTTTCAATAATAAACTTATGATATCTGACTTTGCCACTGAAATCTAGTAAGCATTTCCTTTATTTAAAAATTTTTATTTTTATAGGAACTCTGTCAGCGAATGGCTCCATATCCAAAACATATCCATGGAATATGGTAACGAATTGCATCGAATATGGCATCAAAACAGCACAAGGACTCTAGTTCAGTATTCTGCCAGTGGACTATTAATCTGTATTGCTTTTTATTTTTTCCTTTCTGAAATTATTCCTTACATTTTGTTTCCAGCATAACAAATGTCAGACTTTGAACCTGAACGTATGTTATATATAAAAGCATATCATTTTATGAATTTATAATTGTCTTTTTAATGAGTCAAATAATATAGTAAGTATGTAATAAAAAGAGTATGACGATGTGTGAAACTGTCAGTTTGGGGTAGCTTCCCGTTTTTCCTACCCTCGATTGTGATGAAATTACTTAAATATTAATGATTCATGAACCAATGTAATATTTTCATTTGAAAACACATAACGTGTTACTTATTTAGTACAAAAGTAACACTTTGTGTACTACACTTAAGATGCCTAAAATTCACGGACTAATTTCCTTAATGACCCCAGTGAAAGGAAGAACTTTCTCCTCAATTAAAGGTTTATTAACTATCTAACTCTGGCAACCCAGTTTATGCCGTAACAGAAACCGAAAACGTACAGAACTTATTATAGCTGTTCTACTTTTTCAAGCATTCAATTCCGACTGCATAAAAATGCATGCGTTGTAACATACTGTAATATATATCTAATTTTATTATTTATGACACTTTAAAGTCTTAAAATGTCTTGTTTGTAGGCATTTCGTAACTCCTAAAAGGAGGCTTTCAGAACTTTATAAATATATAGATTCAAATTATATAGGTATGCGACAATATAAAGATATTGTGTTTCTTTCGAACATTACTGACAAGTTTAACTATTTCGTTTAGTTGTTATATGGTAGTCTTTCATTGAATACAAAATAAAAGTTCTGATAAGCTAATAAGTCAATGCGTTATATTTTCGTGCGCACAGTTACAGAATTAAATTTTCTCTTGTCCTTATCTTACTAACTTTATGTTATTTTTCCTTTAGAGCTGTGTGATCGATCGTATAGTTGCATTAATGTAAATAAGGAAATGTAAGACATATGTATAAGTTGAATAATTGGGAAACAAAAGAAAATTTAATACATGTCTGGTTTGTCTTGTTTTTTTTGCGACACATCTGCTCATATCTCATTTAACGTCATTGAAAACAAAACAACGAACAAAAGATTTGATGATCTGAAGCGGAAAAGAAGACGATAAAAAAAGAAGATGGATTATCATTATATGATAGAGGGCATTATCTATCAAGTTTGTCATATAAACTACTAATGTCACAGGAATTTGAAATTCACAGAATCGTATGATATGTTATGCGTATAAATATAATAAAAAAATTGGAAACAAAATATGCGAATCATCTCGATTTATTCAGGACAACCAAGCAAGGAAACACATACATTTAGACAGTTTGATAAGCTATCATGAGATCATTAATGATTGTCTGAAGTATTAGGGCACCAAAATTATTAATTCTGGCAATTAGGTCACCCTTTCGTAATAGAAGATCACTGTTGTTTTAGAACTGTTTTGCTGTTAAATTATTATTGGCTGGTTGAGTTTACGTTCCATTTACATCATCATAATTACGTAAGAATTGTATGACATAGAAAAGTTTCGAAATGACGCAGTGCAGAGAGAGGTTACTGTTTTTAGAATAGAGAAGAGAAATTTACGTTGCTAATTTAATAAAACTAAAGTTAGCTTAATTGTTTACTAATTTCTGACGTTGCTAATTTAATCCCCTTTATTTTTGATTAATTGACGTAATTAATCGTAAACGTAATTAACTTTAACCTTTAATGTTTTATTAAATTAGCAACGTATTTCTCTTCTCTATTAAAATATCACCCCTCTCTGCACTGCGTCATTTCGAACTATTCCTGTCCTTTAATTTTACCGTATTATGTTGATGTAAATGGATCTTACTCACTAGCCATAATTTTACAGCATATTCCTATCAATCAAATGCTTTGAAAACCGACTAAACTCAGTGACTTCAATTTACCTGAAATTTTAAGGCACACTTTTGCTCAACAACAGAAGATATTGTCAATAGAAAACGCTTTTGCATTAGACGTGAAAGCTAGATGAAGCGCATTAAATAATCCACGGGAGCTTTTCTCACACGAAACTCCTGTCGATATAAAAAGTTTGCATATTATAATTATATGTATAACTTAACTGCACATAACTTAAAATATAAACAAGTGAAAAATGCCACTACTTCATTCCGTTGTTAGCTTCCATTAAAAATGTCTATAAGTATTTTATTACTAAATTTAACAATTGAGCCTTGGGGAGGGTGTAAAAGACCCTGTATTTAAAACTAAGGAAGAACAGAAGGCACACCAGGCGCTTACAAGCTCAGTCAGCACTGGTGAGATAACTTAACAACTCTCTGTCGAATGTAAAAATTAAAACTCAAGTAAACTAGTAGCCACAAATCAATTTAAAGCGAAGTTGGCTCACAAACCTAACCGCCGTAAATATTCAAATATCGGCAAGTGTAATGCAAAGCCAAAGATTATACATTTTGTCTGAGATAGTAGCAATTGCTGCTTTGGCATCCCTTCCCTTTGACAGATAGCCTTCGAGTGCTTTGCCGTAATTAAATAAACCGATAATATAATTAATCCAATTAAATTTATCCTTAACAGGCGATTGTTGTGGTCTTAAAGCTTTTAATAACAAACATAAAGCATAGATCGAAGCTCCTGTTACACATTCGAAAATTAAGTACTTGTTGTTGTTGTTGTCTTGTCCATGAATTTCATGGAGGAAGGTGCTGAGCCGGAAGGAGGTTGGACTTCTTTAATTAAGTAATAAAAATACCGATTGTTCAAAGCTTATGTTTTCCCTTAACTGTCAGTTATTTTGATGATTGGTACACAATTGTCAAATTTTTTTATTGGAAAAACCAAATGTAGCCCGAAATAAACATCTCCCGATCTTATTCGGTATGACAATCGATGCATCACCAAAAACAATTACCCCGCAAATCGGGGGCGTGACATTTTCGAACACCAGTGCTGTGCCCGAGATAATCTCGGGCATGACAGTTAAAAGGTTAACATTGACTTGGACGGCGATAGATCATAACAAGGAAGACAGTCTTACTCTTTCCTTAATTAAATGCTGTCAAGCTTTAAGTCGGGAGAAGCAGTCTCAGTATTTTCAGTCCAAAGATTCTGATATTTTAATTGGAGAAGTTTAGTTTTGTTTATTACCAGCATGTTAAGTAACTGCAGCAAATTTAATTTTTTGTTCTTAAATAAAAGATGATTTTTCTCAGTTAATTTCTTTTTCTTCTTTCTTTTCTTTTTCATTGATTCTTTTATAAAATGTAGCAATTGTTAAAATTTTATCTTTATAATCGAGAGAGATTGAGTATTTGTACTTTATTAATGTTATTAATATGTGTACTATATTATTTCCGTTTTATTAACCTCGTAATAGTAATTTTGTAAGGGTTCTTTTACTTCAACTGTTCAATAATTAACTCAGTTTCTTAGCTATTCCTTCATTTTTTTATCTTTGAAACTTTAATATTATCAAAAATTTTGGTTACATTATTTTTTTTAAATCAAAAAAGTAGCTGCTGAGATCATCATTGTACCTAACTAACTACAGAATAAGAATGTGAAGTATGTTTAGAGAAACTTGTGTACATGCTCGTACTGAGCCTCCTCGACCCTGACAAGCTCCGAAATCTATAAATCGCCTCATCTTGCTCCGTGGCCCACCTGTTTCAATATTTGTTTTCTTGCGCCTGCGATTAAGCAAGCGTCATGTGTCTTTTGGATAAGCAACTGAATGTTTTTACTGCCATCTACTGAGAGACCTTGAAATTAGACAGTACAAAGTTAAAATGGGAGTGTCACACTTTTATTCTTGATTTCATAATATGAAAGTAGGATATTAAATTTAAATTAAAAAGAAGCTCCTTTCGAAATGAAATGGTAGTAATACCTAGAAGTCTAGTTTTTTACTCAGTCATTTTATTGCAGCTCTAGGTTTTAAACGATTTCTAAGTATATGGAAATAACTTAACATTTCTCACCTGCAGTAAAATTATAGAAATTGGTGAAATTTTTTCATCTTTGAGTGTTTTACAAATACCATTGCCATTCATCACAGCCATGCTTACCTATACCTGAGGCAAAATGCGCTCCTCTGTAGCCAACGCAAAGTGTCAGGCTATTTTGAGAAGAAAAAGGGAATAATAATACAGTATAAAGTCTTTAATCCGGACGTTCATAATCCGGAATGATCTATAATCCGGACCTCAAAGCTACAAACTTTCTGCGCATAATACGTTTACGCATGCGCGTTTAATGTATAACGGACGCTATAACTCGGCTAATTTATCTAATTATGATTTAGTTATGTTGCGATTGCGTTGTTCCCATCTTTTTGGATATGCTTATTATTTTTGCAGTTTAGAGCAATTTTATAAAGTAAGCTTGAACTTCGATTATCAAAAGATTTCATTTCTGGAGCGCAAAGCTCATAAAGCAAAGTATGTTCGATGTCCAGTAACAACAGTGGATTGCTGGAAAAAAAAAAATCGATAAGGCGAAGAGTGACAATCGGTGATTTGTTTCTTACCATTCCGAATCTGTTATCAATTTACCTGCTCTGCGGGGGGGACTTCGCGGCGCGCAATGAGCTGGAAGTTGATCTGTGAGCAATCCTCATCTTCTGGGCGTGCTTATTTTATTCGGCTTAATTCCTTACTAAATGTAGTGTTTCATCTCGATTGTACTCCAATGATTGAAATCAATTTCCTCGTCATTAAAATATTACGAATACAATCAAATAGTTTTTATGGTTGCAATTTTCTAATTTCGACTATGTGTAATGTTGCTTTACGCATGCCGCGTTTGAAGAAATGTTTCTTAAGTCCCACAAATATTAAGCTTTTTTTTTTTGTAATTTTGATACCTTTGATTATAATTGTCTTTATTATAAATTACGGTTTCTATTTTTACTTTTATTCTGCATGCCATCTTTCCAGATTTAAATTGATGATCTATAATCCGGAAAAAACCCTAATCCAGAATTGCCGAAGTCCCGACTAGTCCGGATTAAAGACTTTGTACTGTAATATAAAAATAATTGCAATAGTCATTCTTTAAAACATTTTCCTCCGTGAGAGCAAAAATAAATTACTGCAGAGTAAAACTAAATCAGAAAGTAAAAAAAAAATTAACACTGCAGAGCAAAAATTAGTCATATTCTACAGCGCTTAGGTTTTACTAATAGGAATGACTATGCATTAAGTTCTTAGGTACGGTATTTTTAACTTTTCAAATTTTAAAGTATATATTGTTGCAAGCTACGGGTTATCCGATATCTCTTTAAATCAGCGGTTCCTAAACTTTTTGACTCGAGAAATGCGCCCCCCCTTCTTTTTTTTTGGAATCAGCTCTTTGAAAGGCTTAGCGTATATCTTCAAGTTAATAATATTTAAGAACTGTACTAGAGAGGTAGAAAACAGGTATAGTAATAAGGGAATGTAAAGTAAGGTTAATTGATTGAGTTCCTTAAGGAAAAGTACCTCGAGAGTTGTCTGCTAATTGGAGGTATGCCTAGGTTTAAAACATTTTAAGGAAACCTGGCTCATATCCGCATTGCACGTGGTAAAAAACCATGAAAACTTCAATGACACCAGCCCGTAAAGAAAGAAGATACCTAAACTATTGTACAATTACCATGAAATTAAACTATATTGTAAATTTTTCAACTTACATAATATCTCATTTTATTCTCAACGCGATATTCGAAAAGTTAGCCGTACACAAAGATTTTCCGAAGTTCTATAAAACGTACCAGTTTGTATAACAGATATTTTACATTATTGCTGTTAGCATCACTAAAGTCTGCAATAAATTTGTTTCCTCTAAATTAATCATTCCATGCAACTTAATTCATACTTTCTTCATTACTAGTTATTTTAAATCTTCATTACTCTTTATACGCAATTTAATTTTTTATTAATAAACTATAGGCTTAAATTAAGATATAACATAAAAAAAAAAAAAAAAAAAAAAAAAACAAAACGTAAAAACATTATACGAGAAATT